ACAAGGAGCGTGGACAGAGCTAAGCCAGCGCCAAGGGACATTGGCACTGGACCGAGGTAAGTGACGAAGGGGTTATTTACCCATTCTGCATGACGGGCCTTAACAGAGGGGAAAGCTATGGTGCCAGAAAAAACAAGTTTGTTTTCCTGGCACTATAGTTTTCCTTTAAGGCACACATAAAACATTTCAAAGATAAAAACATAACATTTTGCCTGCATATTCTTCAATGTTGTCATCAAAACTATAATATATATATATATATATATATATATATATATATATTCCTATTGTCTCCTTGCACACACACTTCAATGTGGATTTCTGCCTGGTGCGGTCAAGCCAATGCCATAATATACACAAATATAGGGAACAAGAGGCAAGCACTCACGGTCTTTTGGTTTCTTTAAAACGATTTTCCTTTTATTTCATTGCTTAAAACTTGATCGACGTTTCAGCCACAATACATGGTGTGGCGAAACCAACCTCGCCACTGTGAACTGGAGAAGCCTGGTTGCTCGCCTGCTCCCTTTGGACTATGGCCCTGCAGGTTAAACTGTTTATTTCCCCTGCAGAAAGGCTTATTTGTGTGATCTGAGTGCCATTCATCTAATAATGTGCACTCAGATCCCAGCTATCTGGGGATATGTGAAATGTCTGTGTGTTATGTGTAAATGTGACTTTATGTATTTTAAAGTGTTTTGTGTCTTTTTGCAACCATGTGCTTAATGGAGTCTTGTGTCTGTCCTGGGAGATAATTGAATTACTCTCCAGGATAGAAGACTCTGAAACTGGTTTGGGCCAGAAAGCCATGCTTCATTTAGTCACAAAGGACTTTCCCTTAACTTTTGAACCCCTGGTCTGATTCGTGCCATTTTTTAATATGTTGTTCCCCTGAATGGATTGATTGTGAATATGTAATTTTATGTGAATGTGATGTATGGTTTTAGAGTTATGAAAGTTGGGTAGAAAGTATGTTTTAACTGTATGTATAATTGAGTTTCCTCTCAGGATAAGGGGAGGGAATATGTGGGATGTAACTGATATGTGATTGGTTGTTTTGTAACGCCCTGTGGGCTGTACTATGTTTGTGATTTGGGAATAAAAGAGACTGTATGTGACAGTACAGAGAGTTCCTGTTTTAACCCTCAAAGTGAAGTGTCGTCTCATTATTGGGGGAAGGATTTATTGTATGCTGTTCCAGTTTGACTGCTAGGAGAGTAAACCTATTCGTATGGTTCCTATTCAACTGTCTACAGCATTCATATGCTTGAGAGGATTCATATGCTTCTCCGGTTCGGTGGTTGTGGTGTCTGCTGCAGTGCTTGGAGTCCTCAGGAAGCGCTAGGAGCATCCTTTAACGGAGGTACCCAGTCGGGGTGCCAGGCGATCCGTTACATTGGTGGCAGCGGTGGGATGGCGTCCTAGTGCGAGGTAAAGCAGCTCAGAGACACAGTTCGTTTGGATTTACAAATTGAGGGCAACGCTAGCACACGTGCAGCGACCCTGGGAGCAGAGGTATCCAGCGACTTGGAGCAGACAAGTATGGAAGGCTCTGGCGACGATTGGATGGCCGAGGTGAGGCAGCGAGTGGCCCAGTATGGGCATGATTTACCCATGGAGGTACGCCGGGTGATCTGGAACCAGGTCACGGCCGAGCGAAACACAAGGCTGGCCCGAGAATTCCGGCTGGCGAAAGAGAGAGAGTATGCTCAGCGGAAGGAGTGTTACAACAGCCGAGTAGAGGCTGCATCCGAGGAGGCTAGCCGTCTCCCCCTGAGGCGGCCGCAGGAACCCGAAGTAGGGGTCCTCATAGACTGGTCCTGTGAGGAACCACAACAGACAGGTGGAGATGGGACCGGCCCAGATCCCCAGCAGCAGCCGGAGTTGCCAGGTGCGGAAGCAGGTGGTCCTTACTCGCAAATGTTGAGGGACCTCACAGACTGGTCCTGGGAAGACCCACAGATGGCAGGTGGAGATGGGACGGCGGTTTCTCAACTGGCCCTACAGGGATGCTGGGCGGTCGGCCCAGATCTCCAGCGGCAGTATGTACCCCAGGGAGCTGAAGGTGCAGTCCTTCCTCCCCAGCGGCAGTGTGCACCCCAGGGAGCTGAAGGTGCAGTCCTTCCTCCCCAGCGGCAGTGTGTACCCCAGGGAGCTGAAGGTGCCGTCCTTCCTCCCCAGCGGCACAGTGTCCTGCAGCGAGCAGAGACCGTCAGTCTCGCACCCCAACCACAGGACAAAATAATGAAAGGGGAGACAGCTGGTCCCCCTCTCCACCAGCAGAGAGGGTGTCAGGGAGAGGAGCCTGATACCCCCTCTCCCCAGCGGCAGTTTACAGTTCAGAGAGAGGAGCTTGTTACACCCTCTCTCCAGCGGCAGCCTAGCCCAGCAAGGGGAGATGTTACACCCCCCAACAGTGCAGATGGGACTGTAGTCTCTGCACTTACAGCACAAGGGATAGGGACAGTCGGTCCTGTTCCCCAGCCACAGAGCGGTGTATCCAGAGGGGAGACAGTCGGTCTCTCCCTCCCACAACCAGGCTCCCACCAGGCTACTTCCGTGGTAGCACTGGCATCAGGGCAGAGTACCGCTGGTCTCTGCCCACTCAACAACCCACCAAGGCAGCCTAACAGTTGCCCACACAGTCGTGGTGAGGCACCTGGACATGGACAAAGTTCTCCTCTACCCAGGTGTAGTAACCAGTTATTGTGGGTGGGCTGTACTGCTGTTTCTGTTTTGTGGGTAGGTTGCTGGACTAACCAGGGCACTGACCGGCAGGAGGTCAGATACCCTGTTAGTCTAGTTGGTAAAGGGGAGAAGTGTGGCGAAACCAACCTCGCCACTGTGAACTGGAGAAGCCTGGTTGCTCGCCTGCTCCCTTTGGACTATAGCCCTGCAGGTTAAACTGTTTATTTCCCCTGCAGAAAGGCTTATTTGTGTGATCTGAGTGCCATTCATCTAATAATGTGCACTCACATCCCAGCTATCTGGGGATATGTGAAATGTCTGTGTGTTATGTGTAAATGTGACTTTATGTATTTTAAAGTGTTTTTGTGTCTTTTTGCAACCATGTGCTTAATGGAGTCTTGTGTCTATCCTGGGAGATAATTGAATTACTCTCCAGGATAGAAGACTCTGAAACTGGTTTGGGCCAGAAAGCCATGCTTCATTTAGTCACAAAGGACTTTCCCTTAACTTTTGAACCCATGGTCTGATTCGTGCCATTTTTTAATATGTTGTTCCCCTGAATGGATTGATTATGAAAATGTATGTTTTATGTTTGTGACATGTATATTTTAGAAGTTATAAATATTGTGTAAAAAATGTATTCCTCTGCCGGTGATAATGAGATTACCCATTGTGTTCAGTAATCATATCACCTGCAGAGGGGAGGATTTTGTGTGGGAGTGTCTGGGTGTATTGTACGGATTGATTGGTTGTTTTGTAACGCCCTGTGGGCTGTACTATGTTTGTGGATTGGAAATAAAAGAGACTGTATGTGACAGTACCGGAGATTCTGCTTGACCCTCAAACCGATGTGTCGTCTCGTTTTTGGGGGGAATTGGATTGTATGCTGACTGCCAGGAGTGTAAGCGGATTGTATGCTTTTCCTGTTCGGCTGATTCCAGTGTTCGTGTGTTTCCAGTTCGGGAGTTGGTGCATTCGTACAGTTTGCAGTTCGGGAGTTTGGTGCTTGCAGTAGCTGCTGGTCTGTGGGAAAGGGGATTATAGCCTAAACGGTTTTTATCCTCTTGTGAGAGAAACGGTCCGTTACAAATATGATCGTAGATATATAATGTTTAAACTAATAGCTAATTATTCTTACAATGTCACATTGGCATGCACACAATTGCTATAGACATAATCATGGCAACTACTATGCATGTTATTGTAGTTGCTGTGGCTAAGAGCAGGAAAAATGCATGTGGTAGGGTTCTCCTGCTCTCCTGAATCTTTCCGTATTTAGTGCAGACCTCTGTGTGTCATTGGCAATTGATTGACAGGTGGCAGAAGGGGTATATTTTGAAACTGTTTTAACTTCAAACATTTTCATTTGCTAGCACTTGCTAACACAATGTAAAAATAATTTTCATAATGTATAATTTGAATATCTTTTGTTTTTTTCCTCAAGTTTACTTGTGTGTGCCATACATTATCACCTTGGAGGTAGAGATATATTATAAATTATTATGTTTTTATATATACACCTTGGTTTTATATTTATATGGCACATCCTGTCATCTAATGCAAATTCAAAATGTTCAATAATTCTCCTTGCATGTCCAAGAAATCACGGAAAAAGATGACTGGCAAACACGTGATAGTCCACGTTTCTCTTTTTATTTGATAAATATGTATTATGTAGCATAAGTGTAATATTTTATAAATTTCTTTTTTTCAGATTTATAGGGATTCAAATTTGCTTTAAAATCGGAGCCTTGATATTATTTATTGCCGTTTACTGTTTGTTACGCATTAAAGACAAGAAAAAAATGGATGAACATACCTCAACGAAAAGATTGGAAGAACACACTTTGAATGAAAAGTCCCCCATCTGAGAATTTTAATTCATATATTGACGGTGGAAAAAAACAAACAAATTGGAATTCAGATGTATGCTGTCAACACAGCTGGGTTTCTTTAAATTTAATGATACTCAAGGCACAAACGCAAACTTGGAAAAAAAAATGAATTTCCACATTACCCTACTTAATTACCGAATGTCAAGTCAACAAGTCAAAATTTTGATAAAGGGATCAGCAAGGAGTGATATATAACATTCTGAAACTCGGAGGGAATGGAATAGTTCATAGTTTAACCTGTTTGCCAATTATGTTCTCCCAAATACTATTCAATATTTAGAAAATCCTTTCATGAAGTTTATGAGGAGTTAAGGATTCATTTTCTGGACTGCAAGACTGATTAAATAATTTCACAAATATCTCTTATAACCTTAAAAACATGATACCATTATCCACGTGTACTAAGATTTAAATAGACAACAATACCAGTAAACATTGCACTATGATGCAGTTTTTACATAAATGGCCGTTTATGGGCTCTAACTGGTTTATCTCAGCTGTAACAGGTTCATCTCTTGCACAACAATGGGAACCTACACCTACATCCGTGATATATGAGAAAAGCTGGAGTGAGTCTGCTATTTTTCACTTTATTTCAGCTCCCATAGTCTGGCGATGTGGGAATATATTGGAAGTGTTAGTCACAAAAAATACAGGCGCCCATTCTTTTCTTCCAACGACCACACCGGACATTCTGAAAACTTCTGGTGTCTTCATGACTGCACTACGGGTCAACGATGAATAATATCAATCCACTGGAAAGTCATCTGTGAATATTGGCTTTAATGGTTTACTTTCAAAAACTGAGTTTGGATATCACTTGACATTTAATAATTATTTGAGGCAGGGCCAGATTAACATAGGGGCTGATGGAGCTGCAGCTCCAGGCCCAGGCCCAGGCCCATGGAATAGACCCATTGATTTAAAAAAAAAAAAAAATATATATATATATATATATATATTTAAAAAAAAAAATTTCACACACTACTCTTGGGGATTCCACCTAGCTTTTATTTTATTGGCACAGCCAGTATTTGAGGCTGCCTGGCTGGTGCCAATATTGCAGTGATATTGGCAATTCAAATGCTGGTATTTTTCTCAGTATAAACAAGAGATTACTATGCAATACCAGCACTGGCCAGTAGGGGTGTGTGGAGACAGGCAGGGATAGGAAGTTCCAGCATATCCCTCCCTGCCTATCTATACTCACTGATCTGCAGGGGTGCAGCTACAGAGAGTCCAGACAGCAACGCCCACCCTGCAGAAAGAGCCTGCAGCTCAGGGAAGTAAGGGATGGGGGAAAGGCTGCAAGGAGACATACACTGAGACAATAAGGGACACTGGGAGATATTATGGCAGACACTGAGACACTAAGGGACATTGGGAGACATTATGACACAGACACATGGGGACACAATGTCCCCATGTCTCCCAGTGTCCCCATGTCTCCCAGCCAGTGTCCCTGGTGTCTCAGTGCCCCCTATTCTCCCAGTGTCTCACTGTCCCCATGTCTCCTCGTGCCTCCATGTCTCCCAGTGCCTCAAGTGTCTCAATGTCCCCATGTCTCCAAGCTAGTGTCCCTAGTGTCTGTGGCCGTGGAGTCTCAGTGTCCCCATGTCTCCCAGTGCCCCCATGTCTCAATGTCCCCATGTCCCCCAGCCAGTGTCTCTAGTGTCTGTGTCCCCATGTCTTCAAGTGTCCCCTATTTTCCCAGTGTCCCCATGTGTGCCAGCCAGTGTCCCCTAGTTTCCCAGTGTCATTGGTGTCTCTGTGTCCCTAGGTCTCCCCGTGTCCCCAGGTCTCCCCGTCTTCCTAGTGTCCTAGTGACACATACATGGGGACATAGACACATGGGAATATTAGAGGACACAGGGAGACATGGGGCATTGAGACACTGTGATACATAGGAACGCTGAGACCTGGAGTAATCGACACATGTGGGCACTGGGAAACATGGGGGCACTGGGAGGAATCCATCTATACAGCATAATCAAACTAAGTAGTTTTTGGGTGATTTTACAGCATTTCTCTTATGTCACTACTTGTGATTTACATCATGTAATGTCACACATACATATTTAATTATTCAAATTAGTAAGGCCGGTATGTTTTTCCAAGAAAGGTGGCAACCCTAACTACTTTTCACATACTCTTACTTAAGTATGGAAACTTAAATGGGATGTATGGGAACAAAACTTGTGTGGACTGGCTGACAATGAATATAGTTAAAGGGACACTATAGTCACAAGAACAACTACAGCTTATTGAATTTGTTCTGGTTAGTAGAATCATTACTTTCAGGCTTTTTGCTAGAAACACTGTCTTTTCAGAGAAAATGCAGTGTTTGCATTACAGCCTAGTGATAACTTCACTGGCCACTCCTTAGATGGCTGTTAGAGATCCTTCCTGGGTCATGGCTGCCTAAAATGCATCCAAACATTCAGTATCTCCTCCCTCTGCATGCAGACACTGAACTTTCCTCATAGAGATTCATTTATTCAATTTATTCATAGCTGCTGTTTTCTTTCTCTCCAGCACCATCTCCATCAGATACATGACGCTTGGGAGTGTTTTACTGTTTTTGGTCGATATGATTCTTTAATTAGGCCCGTCATAATTGTCAGCACCAGGCCTACTGTGCTGTTAATCTGGCCCTGATTTGAGGACATATTTTGGCAGACACCTGTTATTTGTTTTTGGAGTCTAGAAAAGTCGCACTGCCTGAAATGTTCTAGCATTAAATGCAATAGTTTTTAGAACTTTTACGTTAAAGCAGCTCTGTTAACAGTCTGGCTCTGTTTAAAGTTTTGCTTTAAATTATTTTCTTGTCCTGTATCCTCTTTGTTTTTTTTTGTTTTTTTTTAAATTCATGGGCTACTCTTTCTTATGGGCAATGCGAAATGTTGGCAGTGGGCTTATCGAAAACAAATTTCCAAATTAGTTGCTAAATTAGTTTACCCACAATTCATCAGTCAAAATAATCACACATAACAAAATTGCTCGCAGGTGTTCAGATCCAGTGCGAGGAGGAAAATAAAATGAATATAAATAAAAATGGCAAAGAGTCGAGTATAATCATGAAAATACAATGGGCATACGGAATGGGAAATCATATATTTTTTTTATTATTAATTTTTCATGTTCACAATTCACATATAATGACAAGGGATCATTTTTACAATGACATCGAGACCGAGACACTTTAATCACATCTAGTTAAAGTAAAAATGTACAATAAATACCTTTAGAATGACAGCTGGACAAATACTTCCAAGAAAAGGCTTCAGGCACTCACTGTGTTCAAAGGTAAGGCAGGTTTATTGGACCATCACGTACACAGCTGACAGAATGGTGACTAACAGGTTTATTCTCTAAAATGAGAATTGTTGAGAAATTAAAGTAATTTTTAATTTTAAGGCCAAAATAGCCAAACCGGAAAAAAAGTTCTAGTAAGCTATGCTTCCAGTTCGTCTACTTTCGCCTTAAATATTAAATTCTCCTTAAATTCACTTTTACTTCCCTTAGAGACCCTTGCCAGTTTGGCTTTATTGACTGGTGGAACAGTCTGCCTAACGCCATCAGACTCTCCTCTAGTCTTGAATCGTTTAAGTCATGCCTTAAAACCCATCTCTTTAGGAAAGCTTATGGCCTCCCAGAGCAACCTCTACCTCACGTACCTGTCTCTTGCTCTCTCCTATAGGGCAGTGCTTTACTCTCTCCTCCAGCTCTGCTTCACTCCACCTTGTTTGATTGCTACCTCCTGTCCTTATGTGTTTTACATCCCACCTCCTATAGACTGTAAGCTCCTTTGAGCAGGGTCCTCTTCAATCTATCGTTCCTGTAAGTTTTCTTGTAATTGTCCAATTTATAGCTAAATCCCCCCTCTTATTATATTGTAAAGTGCTACGGAATCTGTTGGCGCTATATAAATGACAATAATAATAATAATAATAAAAAATGGATTCTATAGTTCCTGAAAAACAAAGCCGTTTTCCGGAGAGGGAGACCTAATGCGCATTCGCGACAAGTGTCATGCTCGCATTAGGATTCCCTATGGGGATTTGCTTTCCTATGGGGATTTGATTGACGCTGGATGTCCTCATGCCCTTACTGTTGCTTTTAAATACCATATGTATCATCTATTTAATTTGCAAAAATACTTAAAATCAGTTTGCAAGATATTATTTAATGATCTAGCTACACTGGAACAGTGCAATGATAAAATAATCTTTTGAACCAGAATGTGAAGAGTAAAATAATATTATACTACTTTATACTATACATTTTCTACTACTGAAACCAAAATTTATAACAAAATAAAAGCGAGTTTATTCATCTATCATTGCTTATGCTTTGCTATGTTTCTGCTGTTTGATGTTCTACACATGGTGGATGCAATATATTTTAGATAATAATCTGTTTTGCTCCATAAACCCAACCTGTCCTTCCATCACCGCCTGTTCTCAAGAATTCTATTTTTACTGTAAAAATGGTGCTGTACATGTTGTCATGCCTTAGATTGGTGGGCGTTGTAGTTCAGCTGGGAGCTTCGTACAGCAGAAAGCTGACAACAAATTCAACTTCCAGAAACTGTAAAAGCTGACTAGAACGCACTGCTGATAGGATAAATCAGAAGTGCTATAGAAAGCTGTGTGATTCATCAATCACATGTCTACTTTTAACCATTTCAAATTAAAGGGGCACTATATGAGATGAAGTGTTCTTGGTGCATGTTCGAAAATCTACTTGCTTCCCCCATGATTCCGCTATGTAACTATGTTTCCTGCAACTGTCTTAGCTTGGACAGAAGAATCTATATTTACTTTATATGGGATTCATATTGAGAATATAGTCAAGGTTTCCGCACATTAGTCCACATTGAATTCAGTATGGATCTGTTTAGAGACTTTATTCTAAAAGATGTCTTTTAAAATAGACTTCATTGAAAATTGAAGCTGATTTGCATTGTATCCCCTTACTGTTGCTTTTAAATACCATATGTACTAGCGGTACTAACTAGCTCAGTGAGAGATGGACACTCAGAATTTGCAGCAAATTCAAGAACTTTGTATTTCCTATTATTTTGAATGGAGTTTATTTTTACAACATGACAGCCCTTCATATTGTAAAAAAAATAAAATAACTGTCTATGCCTAAAAGTGGCCCCTCTCCCTAAACCTACTCCTCGCCATACAATATATTATTCACTAAAGAGAGAATTTAATTTAAGATCAACGTTATTTATTTGATATTTACTTTGAATCCACTTTGAATTTTCACTGTAGCACATAAACCTGCTAGATGATATGGTTTAGGCTCGAAGTGATGTACTCAGTGAAGAGAAGAATTATATAATAAGGTACTTGGGTCTAATGCTAGCCAAACAACGTCAAATGTAACCGGTTCTTTACAAAACTGTTTTATTATTAAATATAATATATTTACTAACGAAAGAGTGAGCTGCAGTAATTTGAAAAATTAATTTGTAATGCCAGGAATATGGAAAAGTTGGAAAATTCTTCCAGATGTTTTTCTCTTTGTGCAACTGCAGTTTTGCTAATTCTTTTTTTTATTCCCAAATAATACTTTTTGTAAATAAGTATTTAGTCTAGTAAATTAATCTATGTTTATTGAAGCTTAAAGCGATACTTTGGGCATCCAAACCACTTCAGCTCAATAAAGGGGTCTGGGTGCCACATCCTGTCGGCCTGAAAACATTGCCATTTTTAAAAAATGGTTAATATAGCTCTAGTAGCTGTCACAACGTTAAATTATTTAATTACGATGGTCTAATAGAGTTCCAATGATTTCCTATGTAGATTATTATTAATATTTATAAATCGCTGACAAGTTCTGTAGCGCTGTAGCGCTGTACAACATAGCGCTGTACAACATAGCGCTGTACAATGGGTGGACTAACAGACACATATTTGTAACCAAACAAGTTGGACACACAGAAACAAAGGGATTGAGGGCTTACATGCTTACATGCTTAATGAGCTTCCATGCTAGAGGGATTGGGGTATAGTGACACAAAAGGTAATGTCAGGGTAGAAAAGTAGGTTAGTAGGATAGTATTCATTGAGGGCTAGGTGATGTTTTGATTTTAGTTATAGGAGAGGAATCAGGGTGCAGAGAGGGAAAGCTGTTCACAGTTTAATTGATATGCTTTTCTAAAGAAGTAGGTTTTCAAAGATTTTTTGACGGACTGGAGACTGGGTGAAAGTCTAACAGAGAGGGAAAGGGCGTTCCACCAGATTGATGATCTCAGCCAATGAGGCAGGGCCATCGCAGCGAGATAGAAAATGTATTCATATCTATATAATGTTTCTTTCATATATGAATTTAGTTATTTTGTCCTATTTTGGAAATAAAGTTTAGAAGAAATGTTCTACCATTTGAGTGTGAAGCAGCCCATGACATTGCCAAACAGATGACACTGTGAAACTATGGGTGAGTGTGTGCATAGCTCTCCGGATATAGTCTGGTGCTCTGGCAGTTAAAAAGCACTGAAAATGAACATGGAAATGAATAAGGGGCCCAGCTGTGGGAAAGCACAAATGAAAGGCATAAAATCTGCCATCTTGAAAGCAGGATCTGTTGCGAAAAAGATTAAAGGAGTAAAAAGGTAATAACTAAAATCAATCTTTTAAGTCCTACATAAATTTCTCTGGACAATTTTTCCTTCTGTTACTGTCATACTTGTCCAGAGAAACTGATGGATAGCTTGAAGAAGAACAGAAGAACTATCACAATTAAGATATTTGCAGAAATAAAGCTAACTAGAGGTACAAATTGCCCAATACAATATTATTTATCTCAAATTTTAAAAATGAGCCTTATTTTGTGTTTTATTTATATAGCAGTGAATGCAGTTCTGTTCTCACCTGCATTGACCTATTTTTGTCGTCTGTATCTTTAGGTCTTTATGAACCCTCCCATCAAATATAAATATTAAGAACATAGTGTGGCCTTATGAGTCCAGTGATGTAGATGTAAAAAACAGATAAAACGTGTATCTTGTAATACCTTTCTCACGTCTGAAGCATTTCTGAGCAAAGATGACACATGGAATTCAAAGTTGAGTTGTGATACAGGGGTTAAAGCGACATGACTGTAGATAAGACACAGGTTTGATAGAAAATAGACTCCATTCTCGCAGAGGGTCGAAAATATCTTGTGTGAAGATCACAGAGTGAGAGGGGAGAGAAAAAGAAACAAGCAAACAGTGCAGATGATGGTGCTAAAAGGGGAAAGTAAAAACAAAATAATTACTTACATTAAGAATGCATGAATTCCTATCCAAGAGTTGCAGGACATGCATGAAGGCCTATACCCAGCAAACGCAGACACACACACTCACACACACATGTACATATACATATACACAAGTCGTGTACATGTACAAGTATACGCAAGAATATACACAGGTTCATACAACAATATACATATAAATACAACCAAATGCACAAATATATATACATAAACATGTATACATACATCTACACACAAGCACCAATACATGTACCTACACATGTACAAATGTGCCTACACATACATAGACCCATATACATACACATGCACCTATTCACATATACACACACACATGTATGCATATACACACACACACTTTATACAGGCACACACACACACACAAATATATATATATATATGCATACACACATGAACATATATACATACACACACACACAAACACATGCACAGTCACATATATAGGCATACATGCATAAGAGTATAGGAAGGCATAGGTATTTTGGATATTGATAGAATACACATATCGTTGGAACACAATTTAAGATGTTGATACATATGACAGAACAGTAAGATAATGTGGGAGAGTGTTCATGTAGTGTTGGTAGTGGGACAGGAAACCCAAATCAATATTTAGTCCTCTATTCTTGCTGTTAAACAATTGGATTACTCTGGCTTCAAATGTTTTTCTATCTTGGGTATTTTTAAACCCCCTTTTAGTACTTTGATTTTTAGATCCTTCAGTGAATGGCCAGGCTGGGAAAAGTGATATCCCACAGGAGTGCAATACCATCCTTCTTTGTGGTGTTTAATGGAGTGTCTGTGCATATTCATTTTGCCATTTAATTGCTGGGTGGTTTCCCCAATGTAGCAACCTAAGTGGCATTTGGTGCTTTGAATCATGTTTACCACATTGCTGGATGTGCAGTATGAGTATGATCCTTTAATGCTGTAGCTTTTATTGTTGTGTGTGGCTGTGTTGCCTGTGCATATGTGCTGACACAGTTTGTACCGAGGTTTCTCGCATTGACTGGTCCCGTTTTCTTTATTCTTCCCATCAGTGGACAGCTCCCTGTTGATTAATTTTTGTTGGAGGTTTGATGGTTGCCTGAAGGCCAAAACTGGTGTTTCAGAGAAAATGTTTTTCAGAGTCTCGTGTTTTGTTAACATTGGTTGTAGGCCTTTGATGATTTTCCGTATTTCCTCAAGAGCTGGGTTGTAGGTGACCACAAGTGGCACTCATGTAGATATTTATTTTTCTCTGTATTGTAACAGGCGCGTGCGTGGAGTTTTTACTGCAGAGTTGATTTGTTGGGTAATAGTCTTTGGTTTGTAGCCTTTCTGTCTCATAGATAGGGAGAGTACATTAGATGGGTAGGTTCAGAGCATATGTGATATCTAGTACCTGATACCTAAGTACCTAGTGGCTTGGCTGTAGATGATGCCCTGTTTAGTATGAGAGGGGTGGAAGCTGGTGCTGTGACGGTAACTGCATCTGTCTGTGGGTTTTCTTTAAACCGAGGTGTGGATTGTGTCACGTCACAGGGGTGTCCAGAAAATTCACAAATCTAGTGGAAAATTCAATTTTTAGTTTGATTGATGGATGGAATGTGTTAGAAGAGTAATGGAATTGTATCAGTTTTTTGGCACTTACAGTCCAAATTATGAAGATATCATCGATATAGCGATATTATTTGTATGGTTTGGTGTGTTGTATTTCTAGGAATCTCTGTTCTAGATCTTAACCTGTGTCTTATCTGCACTCATGTCATGTTGCTTTAACCCCTGTATCACAACTCAACTTTGAATTCTATGTGCCATCCTGCTCAGAAATGCTTTAGACATGAGAAAGAGAGGTTCTCCCAAATGCTTGTCATTAAAAATTCTGTTAGTCCAATAAAAAATGTATTACAAGATAAGAATTTTATCTGTATTTTACATCTATTAAGAACATATTTATAGATACATGTTTATAAATACATATTCTGTGGCTAGTTCTCAGCTGTATTGGTCTATGTTAATTATATTGTCTATTGTCTTTATAAATGCCAGTAATTATACTATTTTACAGTTACTAATACATATAATCCTATATTAGTATGTATATGAATACATACACTATTATTGATTCATTAACCAGCAATCAACAGTGATTTTGCGTAAATGTAAATACTTACTTAGTCCCTGATGGGTATTCTTTGTATATAAACACAGCTGAGCAACATAGCTACATATCACATATGTAATAACTCTCACTCACCATCAGTTTTATATCAAGATATAGTTAGAACATTCTAAATATCCAATCCAATTAACTAAAGTATATAAAAAAAGAAATAAGCAAAGAAATCTAAAACAATTTAAGATTTCATGTTTCTATTAATATATTGTATATTTGGCAGAAGCTAGACTTAACACAGGGTACACCAAAAACTCTTGCAGTGGCAAAGTGCTTTGAGAATGGAATACATCCAGTGTTTATCCCAATCCTTTTTACTCCCTTTATGGCCCATAGCAATTTATACTATTCTAATGTAATCCAATCACTTATTTATATTATAAAGAATATTCTGGACCAGACACATCATTACAAGTAATGAATGGTCAATCAGCTGCAGCAGCATACCTCCAACATTGGAAATCCACACAGGAGTGGTGGGCATATATAATATAATGGCTAGGTTCACCATAACATGGATAGGCTGCATCAAAAAAATGGGGAGTGTCAGTCCGGA